CCCCCACTCACGAACTGGCTGCTGCTGTGGCTCCGGCGCAGCCTCATGCTCATTTTGGTGCAGGGCTCGGGGCTGTGGCGCAGCTCGTCCCGAGCCCCCCCCGGCGACATCGGGGACCCCCCCCGGGGCTCCCCCGGAGGCTCCTCCTTCACCACCACCGTGGGGGGGCACTCGGGACCCTCCTTGTCTGCGGGGAGGGGGTGAGAGGCGGGTTATTGATCGCTGATTGGAAATATTGATTATTTATTGGAAATATTGGTTATTGATTTATGGGGGGTCCTGCACTTCTGGTGACATTGGGGACCCCCCTCAGGGTTCCACCATGGTGGGGGGACACTCGGGACCCTCCTTCTCTGCAGAGTGGGGGTTATTGATCACTGATTGGGGGTTATTGATCACTGATTGGAAATATTGGTTATTGATTTATTGGGGGTCCCCCTCCCCCAGTGACATTGGGGACCCCCCCTCAGGGTTCCATCATTGTGGGGGGGCACTCGGGACCCTCCTTGTCTGCGGAGGGGGGGTTATTGATCACTGATTGGGGGTTATTGATCACTGATTGGAAATATTGGTTATTGATTTATTGGGGGTCCTGCACCTCTGGTGACATTGGGGACCCCCCCTCAGGGTTCCATCATTGTGGGGGGACACTCGGGACCCTCCTTGTCTGCGGAGAGGGGGTTATTGATCACTGATTGGAAATATTGATCATTTATTGGGGAGTATCGATTATTGATTTATGGGGGTCCCCCTCCCCCGGTGACATTGGGGACCCCCCTCAGGGTTCCATCATTGTGGGGGGGCACTCGGGACCCTCCTCGTCTGCGGAGAGGGGGTTATAGACGGGTTATTGATCACTGATTGGGGGTTATTGATCATTAATTGGGGGGGGTATCAATTATTGATTTATGGGGGCGAAAAGGGGGTCCCTAAAGAATTGAGGGGAGGAAAAAGGGGGTCCCTAAAGAACTGGGAGGGGGGATGTTTGTCCTGTAAAACAAAACTTTGTCCATAAATAACTGAAAACAGAAAATTCCTAAAAAAACCGAGCAGGATCCCAAAAGAATTTTGGGGAATTACAAAAAACAACCCCAAAACCACACAGAGATTCCCCAGGAAGATTCCGGGGGGGTCCCAGCCACCCCCAAAATGCGGGGGAGGGGTCCCCCCCAATACCTTTTTTCCTCAGAGTTTTATCCTTGGCCACCAGCCCCAGTCCCAACATTTTGGGCCCAGCCCCATAGATCTGCAGCTTCTTCAGCTCGGGGTTCTTCTCAATGTCCTCCTCGGTGGGCTCGGGCTGGGGGGGACAGCACAGTCAGGAGGGGGGGGTCTGGGGGCTCCAC